CTTGAAACATCTCCGACACAACAACGTCCTAACAAATCCTACATACAAATCGACAACAGCGACGCCTCTTCTTGATTTTGTTTTTTACGCGTACGCAGTTTTGTAGCTTTTGATGTGAATATAGGTCGGAGACCGCACCACTCACATTATATTATTACCCGGCTGTGTTATTAGAGAGTTTTAGTATATCGCTCCGATACCCCCGATACCCCCGATGGTGATACCCGATAGAGATACGGTGCATGTGCAAAGGCGGCGGCGGAGTATCGCGTATCGTTATCGGAGCAATCGGGACGATCTATTAAAACTCGACTGAAAATGCATTCGAAACCTTTCTTGTGACTGTACCGCATCGTTCGGCAGCTTTCGTAGACCGTAGAGAGCTTCCGTAGAACGCAGAATTTTAGTAGATCGTTCTTATACCTCCAACAACGATATCCGATAACGATACGATCGTGAGCAAAAGCGCCGAAGAAGTATAGGGTGTCGTTGTCGGAGTCGTCGGAACGGTATATCAACAAGCTCAATCGTGTTTCCCGACCCCTCCGCTACTCTCTCTGCAATGAAGACGCCGCTACTGCGCTTGCGCACCGCTAGCCTCGTGTGCACAGTTCCGGATAACGTACCGGGTTGCAAAGAGCGTTCCGGGACAGAGAAAACAATCTACGAAAGCTTAACGTTATCTCCGGGTATCGCCATAATAGAGAGTAACCCGATTCTCCGACGATGACTTTCCGCACTGTGCATAGGCGAGTCTTCTGTGGCAGCGCATGCGCAGAGCGTACCGGAGGGCTCATTGTACCGTATCGGATGTGCAAAAACGGTTCCCTAAAACTCCCTAATAGAGGTATCGGAACGATCAATTAAAACTGCCTAATAAACTGCTAAATGACAATTCTGCCTAAAAAAAAAGACACCCAACTGATGCGATCAACGGACGGTAAAAGGTCGACTCTGGAACAGCGCGCCGATGACAAACCGAAGGTGTGCCCATTAGAGGAAAATCGGCAGACCTGTTTCACGGTCGCGTATACGCCCCAAGGCATCGCCAATGTTCCGTGTTAGCGGCGACTGCAATCAAACAGCGTGCGTAGACATGGCGGCAGCGGCCCTGTCAAGTCGCACCCGAACGCACATATGCTCGGTTTTGTGGTGGAATACTGGGTGCTGCCGATTTCGGCGGAAGTGGGCGACGCCAAGGCCGATATAATGACCCCTCCGGGAGAAGCCTGCAAGCGAGGAAGTGAAGAAACATTTCAAAGACGGACGCGAGAACCTGCGATATATAGAGAGGAAAAACCACAGAACACACGCACGCACATACACACACACACACACACACACACACACACACACATATATATATATATATAATCGTCGACGCCTACCCGCTAAGCCCTCTTTTTATTTTTCCACTAATATTTTGCACTAATTTTGTCCGAGTAAACTAGTTTTATTATTTTATATATGTATACCTTTACGTGCGCATACAATTTCTTTGTTTATCTCGAATTTTAGTGTATACACTATTTTCTAATATACCTTTTCAGTGTTTTACTTGTTTACCTACTTCGTGCTTTACTTTTTTCCCACTCATATTACCAAATAAACTTTTATTTTTGTATTTTTCCATTTTTCAACTGCTGCGTCTGTGCACCCTTTTTCGTACCCATATATTTTTCGGACGCATCTGAATACCTTTCACTCGTGACCTATGTTAAATATATATATACAGGGTGTCACAAAAAAAAAATTTACAGTTTTTTTGTTTGTTTTTACCACAAAAATAAACTAGACGTCGCCGAACGCTCATTCTCCGCCCAAAGGGAGCGCGAGAGGTCACAACCAGATGCCAAAGATTCAGCCCGATCCGAGAACTTAATCAAAAGTTATAAGTGATTTTCTGAAAATTTCAATGGGAAAATGGAGCAAATTTTTGTCCGGTTTCGGTTTCTGGTGCCATAGAACCCCATGTATTCGAAAACTCTTTCGGCCGCCATTTTCCCATTGGACTTTTTAGAAAATGACTTATAACTTTTGAATAAGGTTTTGGATCGGGCTGAAACTTCGGCATCTGTTTGTGACCTCTAGCGCTACCTTTGAGCGGAAAATGAGCGTTCAACGATGCCTAGTTTATTTTTGCGGTAAAAAAAAAAAATAGTGTAAATTCTTTTCGTGACACCCTCTATATATATGCACATCTTTGTGAGTGTGTATACGTTTGTATCAACCAGGGTTCACGCGGTGTCTCTCGGGTGACGCACCCAATAGACCTTTCCCACTTTTTCGTGACATCCTGCCTTCTGCAATAGAGCCTCGTAGCAATGCCGTACATGAAGCTTGGGAATGCAAGCGCCAAGATTTAAGACGTGCTTGGCTGTGGACTTATAGACGTTGGAACGGAATGTAACACGCTGTAGTCAATCGGTTCAATGAACTGGGCGCCATGTTGTGTGAGCGTTATGTTAGCAACGAATGCTCAGAACGAATTCCCACGTACCGCTAATAGCGACAGTCTTGAGCATTGTGGGAGCTCGCCGTCTCAGCACGTGCAAGAAGAGCATTGGCCGCCAGAATATAACGTATGCATATGTTTCCAGCTGCATTCAGCGTCTTCCTCGGGTGGTGACCTACTTCTATAGTACAGTCAAGGCTCCTGCGCGATAGGAAAAGAGAGGACCACGAAGGAAGAGGAAAATGACGGTAATTTAAACTGACAATTTATTTCACCCTATTTTCTCGCGACAGGCGAGGACACCGGGCATTTTTGGATGGCGGGCGGAACCTTTGTCACGACTGCGGTCGATGTGTCGTTTCTCATCCGGAATAAAAACAGAGCTGCGTAAACACATGACACACGGCACCGAAAAACCTGCTCTCAAAGCGATCGTCGTAATAATAATACATAAAAACAAAATCTGCCACTATAGAGTGTACTAGAAGAGGGGGTGTTGCCACCCAGTCCAGGTTTCCATACGAGAGATGTCCTGTGACGCTCGCGTGTGAACAAAAATGGCGTCGCTGTCGGAGATTTCTCGTAGGATCCATCGCATTTTCAACGTCGAGTTTTGAAACATCAAACGTGGAGTTAATAAGTACACGGCTTTACTCGACGATAACATGGCTCACGGTCGTAGTCGCGTGAGTCATATTATTGAGTTTTAGTGGCGTACCTGAACTTGTAGCGTACGCAAAGAAATGGCGTCTTTGCCATGGGCCCACCCAAAAAGCGGTTTGAGCTCGGTGAAAGCACAGTGACGACGACGCTATTTTGTTATGCGTAGGCACAGCTTTTGGATACGCTATTCCAAAACTCGCCACTTCTTATCGTCTCACAAAGCAAGCAGCGCTTAAAGACTCGTTGTGTGCGACGTTGATTTTTACATCATAGTGCGAATGAACGTTTTCAAGCAGGTGCCGAACATCACGTCACTGTCGCTTTGCCCGCACAAGCGCATCGGTAAACTTTAAGCGTTCTCAATATTCCCTGTATTTTATTTTATATAACCACCTATAGGGAGTATTCACTGGCGGCCAAAGCTGTGTGCGCGACTGCTGAGCGCGTGCTCACGGCGAGCTTCCACAGTTCTTCTCCAACGTGCATTCCGCACCATCAAGATTGCTGGTCTTAGCAGCCTATTAATGTGAGCTCGTTCTGAGCATGCGCTCTAAACAGCACCCACAAATATGGCGTCTAGTGAATACTCCCTATACAGGTATACGAATGCGCGTGACTCGAACACGGCTTCCGTGCATAGGATTTTAGCGTCGTCTTGCCGATTGATTGGTTGCACGACGACCACTGTAGCGTCGAAAATAATTCTGAAGGTTTCCAGCTGAACGTAGAAGTAAAAACCAAGGAGTGGAGAAAAAGAGATACACACTGCTGGCTCCACTCCTTGGTTTTTACTTCTACGTTCAGCTGGAAACCTTCAGAATCATGTCATACCAACCGGCTCAGCTCCAGGCAGTCGAAAATAATTTTCTGTAACTCGCTTCATAGGCTTTTATGAGTTCAACGCGAACAAACCAATAAAATAAATAAATAAAATAACCTATAGGGTCAACCTCGGTGATGCCTAACTAACCTCAACGTAATGTTGATTGGTTTCATGTGTGCAAATCTTCGGAAACAGCCTTACACATCGCGGACAGTTCGTGTAGCCATAAGAGCTTCGTCCCAACAAGGGAGACAAGCAACGAGCACTGTTTACCGACGCGTCACACACACACACATCGCTATTATATTTTTGTTTGCACTGCATAGTCACCGACCAGACCCAAAAATAACAAGTTCGTAAGCAGTATATATATGGTCCAAAATATTACTCAAGTCCCGAGAGAGCTGATGTTGTGTTCTAGGCGAACAAGGGTCGGTGTTCGTCACGCTGACGGGACCTGCACTCGTTAAAAAAGAAACACGACTCTTTCCGACCAATTTCTAAGTACAACCAATTAAATCAACCAGGTCCGATTCTTGCCTCATCAAAGGTAGCTCCTACACAAAACACCGTTGTGTTACAAACCGTTCTGCGTATTCATGCACACTTACCGAGAACACTACAACCAACCTGCCAACAGCATTTCATCGATATATCGGATGTCCCAAACAGAAACCAGACACTTTAAATCGACCGCAAAATTCGGTTTCGTAACCGATCGCGCTACGATTCTGTGCAGCGTTGCCCACAGATGGTGCATTGGTTTTTGTAAAATTTGCAAAGAGCAAACTTACCTGAGAAAAAAGTAAAAAAAAAAAAAAGAAAAAGGCTTAACTCCTTTAGAAACTCAGCGAAGCCACTGGTCTTTAAATAACAGGGTGCCCTATGGTTTGACGACCAGTCACTTCGCTGCGTTTCCATGGGAGTTAAGCCTTTTTCGTTCTCTAATTTCCTGAAGTAAGCTTGCTCTTTGCCAATTTTACAAAAACAACGCATCATCTGTGGGCAACGCTGCAGAAAATCGTAGCGCGATCGGTTACGAAACCGAATTTTGCGATCGATTTAAAGAGCCTGGCCGCTATTTGCGACACCCGATGTATTAGGGCGCCTTTAACGAGTGCGTGTTTCTCTTGCGGCGGTGAGATTAGTCTTTTCTTTGACACGATGCTTCTGTTTATTGTTTACCTTGGAGAACGTTATTTACACGTTCCCCCGATCGCCTGCTGTAGCTTCGGGTATTGTAAGGAGTTTCACCATTCAAAGAAGAACTAAACTGAGGAACACTGGTGTTCAGTGATCTCCAGGATCGTGTAGCACTCAACCGCCCGTATCCCCCAAACACACCGCAGAAGCAAGAAAAACACACGGCCGCTGTATAATGCCTGCCTGGTACGGCCCTCCGACTAGCATCTCTGGCGTCTTTACAGCCCATTAATCGGAGTGGTCCAAAGTAGCAGCAAGATTACATCGCAAGAGCCGACGCCCGCGTAATGCTGCGATCTTGGTGGTTGATCGTATCAACCAATATAAATACGACGAGCGGGCGCACGCGACGTTCGACCAACCCATGCCCGCTGGGGTCTATGTAGGCGGGCTACACAGCAAACAAGGCGAAAACAAGCACCCAACGCGACCACCTCTGCTGTTTTGCCGCCGATAGGATCGCAATAATCCGCGGCACTACACGCAGTGAGAACGGGCGGAGGGAGGTAAGTCAGTTGCCCTCCGCACGGAGATCTTTGGCGGGAAGAAAAAAAAAAAGAAGAAAGCCTAGGCAGACGCAGTCGAGCTGGGGGGCGTCGCCGGTAGCACTGCACACACAGTGCCCATCACAAGCCTACGAATGGGCAAAGTGTGGTGGAACTCCCTCGACTACAGGGTCGCTCTCCGTCACGCTTCGGGGGGCTCGCTCCGATCCCCAAGCAGGGGACGCTAGAAAAGCGTTTACCTGAAAACCAAGAAGAAAAGTAACTGCGCCATACACTCTTAAAAGCTCCTCCACATCTACTGCCCTGCGAGGCACTCAATACACCAATCGTTGTTCTTCCTTTAATCGTTTTCAACGAATAAGAAGGGTAACCGACATGGATGCCGCTGTGTCCATACAATCTCAGTGGGAATTCATTTGGACGGATGCTTCTTTTTCTTCTTTTTTTTTTGTCAATGGGACTGCGTGATTTTATTTCATTTATTTACTCTCAGGGCATAAAGCATTACAGAGGGGGAGTGGGGGAACAATGAGTCGCCAGTAAAAAAAACTCACGAGGGAAAATTGATAAAAATCATGATTAACAAAATCAAGTAAAGATACTAATCAACGCCTTTTTAGAAAATAACACTGTCTACAATTGAAACAATGGGGGCCGGAAGGTGGTTCCATTCATTATCGGGGCATGGTGATGATCGCATTTTTTTATTTCAGTTATCATAGTGCTACAGTATATATATACTATAATCGGTAACAGGTTAAGAATACACTAGCTGCTCCGTCTCCAGCGTGAGCTTTCTGCATGTGATAACTCTTCGGCGCACGCGCAGCCAAAGCTGGTCGGAAGGTAACAAGTGCGTGCTGGAGGCGAAGCTCCTACTGTAGTCTTAACCTGTCGGCGACCATAAAATTATACGGCGAGTTGTTCAAACGAGTCTTTGGCGGATTGGAAAGCGAGGAGGGGCACGCCAATCCACGGACAACATGCACAACGCGTAGAGAACGCGCCATGACGAGGCATCCAAGCGCGTCTTGAGCGTGGGCGCATTTCGCCGGTAAACAAGCGCACGAGGTGCGCAGAGGTCAGGCGAATTTGCACACCGTATACCCTATTACGAACAAGTCGCCCCCTGTCGGTACCTACCGGCGCTCGGCGCCTCAGTCCTCCCTGCAGTTGCGGGGCCGTGCCGCCAGTCGGAGCAGCGAGCGTTCCAAGATGGCGCAGGCTTCGCGCGAACTGGCCAGCTCCGCCTCAGCGTATAGCGCCAGCTGGCGGCCCAGGTGCCGTATCCGGTCCCGGTGAAACCGCTTCATCTGCGCAAGCGCACGCCATCACTAAACGTTTACTCAAATAAGGGGTGTTACTAGCACCGCAGCCCAGATATTACCTGGTCTGGAAACGTTTCGTCATGCTGGAAAACTTTTCCCCGCGAACAGGTTTTATCACAAATCAGATCGCTCGGAGAACTTAACGGACGTACGTGTGTTCCAAGAGGCACCGTGGAGAAAGTCAGTGGACGCCTTTATACTCTTTCATAATACCCTATGGACCGATCGAAAAGATGGACGACTGAACTATACTTGAGGCTTAGGGGTCATATTTCTGGGGGATAATATGAATAACATAAGATGACGCGCGGTTAGTCGTGCACTATTTCACGTTCCACCCTGAAGGGGTGTTTTGCCCCTGAACATGACGCCGACGCTGTGCTGAGACGAAGCGAAATACAAATAATCTCGACCAGGGAGCCTTCACGTGCGCTTTGCTATAGTCGGTTACAAGTCAAGAAGGTAGCGGCAAAAGCCCCTCAAAGGGAATCTTGTATTCCTCCGCCACCAATCGCGTCCCGTTGTTTCCGTGACGTCACGACCTGCCCGAACCAATCTTGTTCTGGCAAATGAATATTTTCAACATGGCTGCCGGGCAGATTTTTACGACTCGAGTATCTTGCAGCAATTATTCTGTTTTTAATGCGGTTTTTCACTTACCCGAGCATACGTCGCTAAGTCGTAACCGCGTCCACTTTTATTTGAAATAGGTTCTGCGCGACAGCGTGAGAATCCAGCGATAGCATTGCCATCGAAAATTTCGATGCGGGAGTAAGGCCTAGCATCGTACATACGTCGAACGCCGTCTGCTTCTCTGCCTCGGGTTGCGCCTCAACATCGTGAAGGCATCGGCTTTTCTTCGCAGTGGTTTCCGTGGAGCGACGTTAAAATGCAGCGGTCACCAAACTCTTCTTTATAAGTGTAGTGGGCTGTGCGGGAGGGGCATAAGTGAACCGCGAACACAGTAAGTGTCTTTACCCAATTTCGACCGTACCTTTGCTGGCGTTAATAAATAATCTGTCTACTGAAATGACGCTTTCGAAGCAGTATGCATTCATCTGTGAAACGTGACGTCCTTGTCAAGTTTCCGCGTCGCAATCGGCTGCACGGTAATCTATGAGTGCGATAGTACCCGCGGGTACACCCTCGTTCGCAATAATGAGCTGTTACATACAGGTGGCACACAAATGATAAAGCCAGTGATGCGTATGTTACCAACATTTAATTGATATTGTTTTGGACGTTAAGATGGCTGATGTCTTCTTTTGGAAGAAATACCAGAGAATTTGAGGGAAGCAGATTCGGTTCTCTCAAATGCTTCCGAACATTCTGCTTGCTCTCGAGGCGCTGTCAGTCGTATGTTTATGCTTCGAAACCCGGGTACGTGACGCCTGTACCTCCACTCGCTTTGCGTCGCGGCCTGAGGTATTACCGGTAAACACGCACCAATTTTTCCAATTTAAGAAGGGAAATGTGTCCACAATACTGGATCGCAGCGTTGGTTTAATAATTTGTAAAAGATGAAAAGTATGGTCAATAAAAATTGATTGTAAGGGCAGTTTCCTGCTTCATGAATTGTGGCTTTCTTATATGCGAAATATTTGTTTAAATCAAGAATTGAAAACATACCGAATACTCTTGATATTGGTCCGAATGCAGGTGGCAGAATGATTTGTCTTTATAACAATAAAATCAACAATGTTTGAGTCAAGCAACAGCTCAAACCGCCTAATTGCATTTCTGATGTATGTTTATCTCTGGATCATACCAGGCCGTAGCCGCGAACGAGCTCTTCAGAATCTGCCATCGTCTTTCTGGTCTACCTTGGCAAAGACAGACTCGTGTAAAAACATTGAGCTTCTTGGAGGCAACCTTGCAGTCCTCATTGTCAGAGCCTCCATGGAACCATTGGAAAGAAGGGTCCCTGTTGTTTCATCGACACGTTTCATCAACTTTTTACGACTAGTTTCATTGATACTGCCACACTGTGCTGTGAAGTTTCATCGACACAAAAATTTCACGCTGTAGGAACATTTTGTTGTGCGTTTATCACTGAAGCACATAATAAACTATCCGACCGACCCAGTTCACGACGCTTTGCGGCGACAGTCTCCAGCAGTTCATTACAAAAATGTGAACCCACCCAGCCCACCCGTACATGCCGCTTCGCAGCAGCGTGTAAGGGTGGTCCTACCCCCTGCATGTACCCGTACCCTTGCTCACCAACTAAGCAGCGCACCCCTAACCAAACCAAGATCTTGTCGACGAAACATAGCAAGATATGTCGATGAGCGAGTGTCGATGAAACAATCTGTTGATAAAGCGTCGCAACGTTGAAACAAACTGTCGGGGAAATGTCATTTGATGAAATGAGTGGCAGCGAAAAAAAGGCCTGTTCCCGAGCCGCGTTACTTAAACACTATCGCAGGCATCATTTTTAGATACTCATTGCCAGAACAAATGCACTCTAAACAAAGAAGAAAATGAATTTCGCGCCCCTCTGCTGTTAAAGTTCAAGACCCGGAATTGGATAAGGGGCCATAAGGCAAATTTGATATGGTTCTGGACTGGACAAGACAACCTTTCGGTACTTCACGACTCTGCCCTTGGCAACAAGTCTGGCTGCAATCTGTGCATTGTGGTTCTTATCAGCTTTGAAAACGTTAGATTTAATCCTGTACATTGCACTAGTCCGGGAGGCTCAAAACTGAGGTCTCTATGGAAGACCGCTTCACTTCATCACAGCGTTTCTGCAAGACGGACAATATCAAGCTTGAGCTAGGCCCAGTTACTGGCATTGGCATTCCCCAGATCTCCGTCCTCTCACCAATCCTTCATCAATGTTGTAGCCGACGTTTTCTCGTGTCAAGCAATTAGTGCTGTTTTTACGATATATTTCAAGCGAGTACAATGGCGCCTCTTAAATTCAGGAAATCTATGCCGCACTACTTCAGACCGCACTTCGGCGCACAGGGCAGCCTGCTCCTCATCCACCACGAGGTGTTGGCCAACTCGCCAAAGTGGGACCCAAGAGTCATAATGGCCGTCGACTTCAAGGGAACTTTCGACGCGTCTACTCAGCTTCGAAACGAAGCACTAGCACTCGCATTTTGCTCTCCACTGTGCTAACACAAGGTATTGTTATTCCCAGGGTGGCCTCAGTCGTGTGAATGGCCACAGACGTCCTGTTTATGTTTTGAAACGAGATCATTAGCAGTTACAGTTAGCTGCACACCGTGCTGACAGACGTTATTGTTATTCTTAGAGTGGCCTCGGTCGTGTGGATGGCCACCGACGTCCAGTTTATGCTTCGAAACAGGTCATTGGCAGTTAGAGTTAGCTGCCAGCAGCGCTGATGCACGTTATTGTTATTCTCAGAGTGGCCTCGGACGTGTGGATGGCCACTGACGTCCAGTTTATGCTTCGAAACAGGTCACTGGCAGTTAGAGTTAGGTGCCCGCAGCGCTGATGCACGTTATTGTTATTCTCAGAGTGGCCTCAGTCATGTGGATGGCCACTGACGTCCAGTTTATGCTTCGAAACAGGTCATTAGCAGTTAGAGTTAGCTGCCCGCAGCGCTGATGCACGTTATTGTTATTCTCGGAGTGGCCTCGGTCGTGTGGATGGCCACTGACGTCCAGTTTATGCTTCGAAACAGGTCATTGGCAGTTAGAGTTAGCTCCCCGCAGCGCTGATGCACGTTATTGTTATTCTCAGAGTGGCCTCGGTCATGTGAATGGCCACTGACGTCCAGTTTATGCTTCGAAACAGGTCAATGGCATTAAGAGTTAGCTTCCCACTGTGCTGACTCACATTATTGTTGTTTTCAGAGGGGCCTCGGTCATGAGAATGACCATAGGCGTTCCCTTTAGACTTAGAAACAGAGTACTAGTACTGCGATTTCGCTCTCCACTGTGCTAACACACGGCTTTGTTATTCCCAGAAGCCTCAGTCATGTAAATGGCCACAGACGTCCCATTTATGCTTTAAAGCAGAGCACTGGCAGTGATATGTTGTGTCGTTTTTCTTAGACAAAAAAGAGCTTATTTGCAATCAAAATTCCATTTGCTGCGTAGCAAAGATCTTTAGACAGCGGGAAGGGTCAATATGGCATCTGATGTCTTTGCCCTAGATGGGCTGCAAACTTTTGTTTTCGTGAAGTTGAAATCTATACTGGTGATTTATGGCACAGTGCAATGTATAGACCAGCTTAGACATTATCGCAACAAAAATAAAAAGTTTGTCTGGTGGCTGCATATCGAAATGCTATTCGGCAACGAGCAGAGATGCATGACAACATGAGACACGGGAGGTTAGTGGTGGTCAAGAACAGCAATCCGATCTTAAAGCAAATAAGTGGTCCTTAAAAGGACCGTTTTGTGTTCCGAGATGTTCCACGCTTTCTCCATAATGGTGGCCTTAAGCTTCGTCAAGGGGCTCGACACCAGACAGGTCACTCTCGGATGGGGTGTCCTCTCCATCCAGCTGGATGACGATGGGCTGGATGTGGGCACTTGTGGCACCGCCTCGTCGGAACGTTGCTTCAATGTCAATAACGTGCCTGACAGCATTAATCCAGTTGTCAGTGGTGACCTTGTCAACTTCTTCGTTGAGGAGTCTCCCCACGTCGACAATCTTGAACGTCGTGTTTCGGGCAGCAACGCCGTTCTTGATCTGCGCCCATATCAGTTCAATGGGGTTGAACTCGCAGTGATACGGTGGGAGCCTGACCACAGTGCAGCCAGCTGTCTCGGCAGCAGTGTCCACACGATACTTTAGGTGCTGTGGCTTCACCAAGGCCACAATGTCGAGCAGCTGCTTCTTCACCATCTTGGGGTCCCATGAAATTTTCTTAGACGTCAGCCACTGTCGGATGTCGTCCTTCCGGGAACTCGTCGTCGGCACTGCTTCCAACCGCCGTGAATGGTAAGAAGCGTTGTCCATGACGATAACGCTTCCTGTCGGCAGTTTGTCGAGGACACCGT